AGAAGAACTTGGTGCTTCTCTTCAGTGATAATTGCATATCAAAAGCAACATTTTAGTCCCTGGCCAGGCACCATATAAAAGAAACATCAAGGTAACAAAAAACCTATCCCAAGACTCCAAACAAAACAACAAAAAGTCCCCTAAGGGTCCCTGTACATAAGAGACAAGTTTGGGATTTTCCACTATTCCATAATGCTAAACAACTGATCTATTTTTTTCCTCATCATCCCAAAATACTTGCACAAAAGTCTGAGTAATTTACAGCTGCAAACACAGTTTGAGAGAAATCTTTACACAGTTCTAAACTCTCCAATCACTAACATTTCTTTTAGTATTCTGCGTCTTTTTCCTTATGAAAACAAGCTCTTAAAAAGAGAAAAAACTCAAACAGAAAAAACTCAAACAGATTATATTAATAAGTCCACTCAAGGTAATGTACATATTTTCACTGAAAAGCACCTGCCGTGGGGTATCTTATTGCAAGGTGAGCATTGATGCATCCTTGCATTCAGAAGTAGCTCCTACCATGGCCCCAGCAAGGATCGGCACTGAGGCGGGGAAAAAGTAGGCCTGATGTAGCTTTTCAAATTGATGCTTCTTGTGGAGAGGAACAAACAGCTCATCTCCAACTGAGGGGTTGACTCTCGTCATTTATTCATGGCCAGCCCCCTGCCTGGATGGAAATAAAAATGTTTCAAAGATGACTGTGTGGGGGAGCTGGAGGACAGCTTGGAGGCACACTGAGGTTAGCACATTAATTTTTTATCTCTGGAGACTGGGTATCCAATTATGCTTAGAGTACACAAACAACTTTGGCTGGTCTCTCCAGTAGAGATTTATCCACATAATAAAATCTGTGACGGAATTGGGCACAACAGGCTGATGCCACAAAATAATGTACACAGATGGTTTTGCAGGTCAGATGCTCAAGCTAACAGAGGGCCAGGAGGGCACAGGACTGCATTCTCATTAAGCACATGTATTGCAGGACGGACCAAACTGCACTCGGCAGCAAGGCCAGCGACAGCCTGCACAATGTACTTTATTTAGGACTGTCTTTTGCTTGTGGGCATAAGATCCTGTTCAGTTGTTGTTTACCACACAGCTGCCTGCAACCGTTTCGCATAGCAAAATGCCACTGAAAACTCTTCCCCTTTAAAGGAGAGGAAGTTTTTCTCCATGTAGACAGACTATCCTCTTCTCCCAGGAATTAAGGAAGAGTATTTATACTAGTACGCTCATTCACAGATGCATTTGAATAGATGGAAGTCTAATGTAATTCCTTTATCAGAACTGTCTCAAAATTTGTGAGCACCAGCTGCCCCCAGACCTGGCCTGTACCCATGGAGCGAGATGGAATAAAACAGCAGGTGTTTTGTGGCAGGCTTGGATGCACCCTGAGCTCACAAATCTCATGCTCTCGGTGCCAACATGTAGAGGAAAAGTCAGCAGAGAAAAAGTCTGAGAGTGGTATGGGATCATTTATTTTTATCAGTGGAGTTGAGAAAGGAGGAAGTTGACTTTTTTAAGAGTTTAATGTCATTTCCTTTTTACAGTTCCATACTCAGGTAAAAACATCAGAGAGTAGGTCAAAAATAAATGTGTGTGTAGGCAGAGGCAAGACTAGACACTGAGAAAGGGCTATTTATCTGTGTCAAAGGGCTAGATAAAGCATAAAAATAAAGCAATTAAAGCTCAAACAAAGCACAGACTAAGGTGTTTTAGGAAAGACAAAGGCCAGAGAAAATGGCTGAACTGTCTTCATGTTGCAGTGGGTAATCTAGTGGTGAGGAAGGAGGACAGAAAGAGAGAGAGATGTAAAGAGATGTAAATAAACAAACCTCCTACAACAGTCAAGGACAATGAGATGTGCCAAGGAGGTGACCTGGGACTTGGGCCAGTGTGGGTTCTTAGAGACGCATCTATTCAGTGATTCTCAGCTTCAAGTAGGTTCCTCCTATCTACATCTCTTTTCCAATCTCTAGATAATTTTCTGACCTACTCAAATTGGTCTGTGCATGAGAAGATGAGAAAAGGGACTGAGTGTGCAGAAAGACAAGAGGCTTTCACCTCCTGAGCTGGTACAATGATAATAATAATGGCCAGTCTTCGCGAGCGAAGATCCGGGGAAGGTCTTTCCACCTTCCAGCCTGCGCATTGGATTTTTTAGGTGAGACACAGTGTGCGCGGAACTGAGCCCACCCTTTAATCCTAAGGTTCATCTGCCGGGGCCAAGCGAGCTTGGACGGTGGCAGCGAGGTCCTTAGGACGTAGATGGGTTGCCTTTAAGGCTAATGAGCTCCACCTGCCCGGGAGTGGCCCTGACCGGGAATCGAACCCGGGTCTCGGCAGTGACAGCGCCACGCCCTTACCACTAGACCACCAGGGGCTCCTGGTACAATGAAGGGCATCAATAACTGAATCGTGCAGAAGCTCTGCTCCCTCCTGCATCACCACAGCTGCTGTTACCACAGGTTCTGCAAGGAGTGGAAGCTAAAGAGGAGTCATTGGTACAAAGGAAGGAAGTTTATGCTCCAGCTGCCCGCCTGAACTTTACTGACCCGGTGCTCACCTCCTACTGCATGGCAAATTCAAAATGGCTGGTTTGATTTCCCTTGCCTTTTCTAAATCAGGCTGCTCATATCTCTGACACACTGCTAAGCAAATAACCAGATCCTACTCTATACCGCATCTCTGGTCCTCCTGTACAATGGGTTGTGGATTAGCTGTTTGGATCAACATCCCCCCAGCTTCCCTCCCTCTTAGCCCCCCCCTCGAGCCTCAAGCCCGTGCAGAGAAGACTCTTCAAGCTTGAGACCTACAATGCTGCAGATCTGTCAAATCTAATTCATAACACATGCCTAGCAGTTCTTAGGGGAGAGGAAAGATCTGATGCCCTGGCTCCCCACCATCCCCCTGTATGAAGGGACCATTAAATGACTGCAAATTAGCAATGTGGACATTTAGCATTCACATGGAAGACAAACAGAAGCATAAATTAAATATCGCTCAGTGAAAGAGAAAAGATGCAAGATCTGAGCTCAAGGCTGAAAACAAAGATGCAAAAAGGAACAAACATCCCATGTGACAGCTAAGCCATTTGGGAGTGTTACCTTCCAGAATCTGAGACTTTCCCCAGGGCTGATCTACACATTTGCATGGCTGTTGCCCGTACCCCACTGGCTCCCAGCTGGTTGTTAAGCAGACTCTTTCCACTCAGGAATCTGGGCTTCGAGTGCTTTACCCCAATGGTTCCTAAACTTCTTCCTGTTTGTGGATCTGTGCATCAGCCACTTCCCTCTGCTACATGTACCACACAGGAGCTCTGGGGGAACACAAACCTGAGCAGCTTTCGCTCTACCCTTTCCCACACTGTAGACGCATCTTTTTTTCCATGCGCCAAAGCCAACTGCTCCTAACCTTACCATAGCTTTTCTAGCTTTTCTTGCTAACTTCTGTAATTTCCTAAGCACCAGAGACACAAGGACCAAGAGTGTCATTGTCATCTATGACAAGCTGAGGGGCAAGGAACATTATCCTTTTTTGTTTGGGCATCCATGCAAGGCCATTATCAATATTAATTCAATACAGATTTGCAATATGCCTCTCAGGTATGCAAATATTACTGACTACTGCAGTCACAGGAAAAAACAAACAAACAATCAAAAAACCCCAGAGCTGATGTAAATGCTAAGTAAACAAATGCTACTGGCTGAACACTGACATTCCCCAGCCTGCCTAAGCAGTCACTCTTAGTGCATTGACAGTTCAAGTTTATCAACAGCTGGAGGAGTCAAAATTACTTTTGCTGTGAATCTACAAAACATGTGAATAACTAAAAGGTAGAGCATAAAAGTGACAGAAACATAGGGATTTCCAAGTGGCATCATACTAAACAGTCCTTCAAGATCAAACAGTGGCTAGTAGCAGATGCTTTGGAGGAAGGAAACCCCCTCCCACATCTCCCTGGGGACAATGATCAATTATCCTACTTAGAAAGAAAATGTTTTCCTACTTCCATATTTCTTGCAGTTCTTCTTAATGCATTAGAAAGTGTTTCCCTGCATATTTTTCCCTATAAGCATTTCATTGCTTTACTACTTTGAACAAAAATGACACAGATCACATGCTTTTGAAAGTGAACAAAGCTATCTACACAAATCCCAAGGTGACAGCAAACATCACAAACTATTGCACACTGGCAAATTGAGAAACAGGGGATTAGAGACTTGGAAAAATCAGTAATAGAACACAGTCTCCTTGACTTCCTGTTCCTTGCCTAAGAAGCACAGGAAGGACAGTCAAATCGGGTGATGGACCTTATGATGGACCACACTGAGCATATGTGATTCATCATACATAAATTCGGACCACTAAGATTGCTTTCAGCCTTGTACCAGTGTGGGGAATTGAGGCGCATAACTCTCCTCTCATGTTCCAGCTCTCCTCCTTGCAGATCAATACTGATGTGGTTTCATAGATTTTCCCAAACTGTAACTAAGAAGCAGCTTTTGGTGAAGTTGAGGGTAAGCTGTTCGGGGAGCAGATGAAGGAATAAGGGAGAAAGGCGCTGTTAGTTTCATACCTAAAATTGGAGACATTGGCAAATGCCTCTAATTCAGAAGTAAAACAGAGGTAACCCCCTCAAACTACTGGATGTGTATTTCCTTAACAACCCTGCTAAGAGCCATTGGGAAGCTGTTTGATGATGGGCAGGTTGGGCACCTCTTCTTCCCCCCCCCCCCACCCCCTGCTTTCCTTGCCACTTCCTTCCCAGTAATGGGAAAGTGACTTGCTGCAGAGATAATGCTGGGTTTGAAATGAATTTCTGACTAGCTGAGCCAGCACCCATGTGAGCTGTGGCTGATTAGCTCCAAGCATCCAAGTCCCAGTCACTCACAACAGAGCCAGGCAATAATGCCAGCCTCCGCAAGGCAAAGACAGGATGGAGGCAACACACCTGAAAAGGATCTCAAAGGTAAAGGGAAAATCCTACTCACGTTTGTGGTTTTCATTTCTGTGGACAGGGGAAGAGCGGGTCTCCTGCTCACGGGCTTCATCACCCTCTTCACTGGCGAGGTGGGTGTGAGCATAGTGGTAGCTCAGCCCAGGCCGGTTCTTGTAGCGCTTGCCACAGACTGGGAGGAAAGGAGATATGAGGGAGGGGAAGACAAAATGAAAATATCAGTGTGATCCACAACCATAGCAGCATCCTCTCAAATAATGCTCCCATTTCCTCTAAGAACAGCACCACACACTCCATGCGCCTGCCCAAAACCCCTCCCACCGGCACTGGTGGAAGATGACAGAGGGCAGCCCTGCAGCCACAGGTCTCTGAACAAGCTTTCTTCCCACCTTGCTGCTAACAGTTCATTCCTACAGGCCTAGGCAAATGCACGTTCAATCCCTGCAGCTCATACAGCCCTAATCCTCTCTGCTAAGATTACTAACAAGACTGCACATAAAATTAAATGAAATGCCAGTTCCAATGTTGGTACTGCACAATGCACAGCAATGGGAATAAGACTGAGAAGAAAGGGCATTATTTTCTTCATTACTGATCTCTGAAAGAAAAGAAACAGTTGGGGTTTTTTAAAAACTTTCTCTAAAAGGTTAATAAATAGCTTTATTCAGATTCCTAGTCAAGATAAGGAGATGGAAATCCTTCACAGTTTCTTGCTAGAGGAACATGTGGTAGTGATACTTATTTGCCCAGGTAAACTTCATATTCAGCATCTCAATAAATAATACAATATGTGACAGAGAATCCTACTTCTGAACTTTTGTTTATTTTAGGACTAAATCAACAGATATTAAGAACAGGATCAAACAGCTCAAGGTGATGAAAGGTCTACATTTTCACAGGGAATTCACCACAAGAGCAAGCTACATCTTAAGATCCATTACATCCAAATTGAGTTTCTATGAAGGGTTTAATTCATGTTATTTTCTCTAAGAGTTATCACTTTTTATCTTCAAAGTATTCTCAGAATGTCAATTTTCTTTTATACAGCTGTTTTGTCCATCAAATACAATTATTGTAATTTTAAATGATTGGAAAACAAAGAAGCTTAGTGCCCTTCCTGCCAGTTTTTACTCCTAGCCACATTTTCAGTCATGGTATTACCTTCATTAACCTCAAGGATTTCGCACAGGAGTGAATGTCCTATCCAGTAATCTGTCCTGCATAACTTGCTTAGAAGGTCAAGGGAAGTGGTACCAGAAAAGAGAACAGAACCCTGTCTTGTTTTTAAGCCCCTTGAAAAGAATCTCCTAGGAGGAAGTCACCATCCACTCCTAAATACTTCATTTATCCCCAATACTGAAACCTGGGTCTGGGAAGGTCTGGAAAGGAACATCAAAAGGCTCCACAAATAAATTTTTAAAGAAAAAAAACCCACCTCAATTATTCACTCACATATAAGTTAAACTTTGATTTTTATACCTTTCTGGTACTACTCACAAAAAGCCAATTGATGTTCCACATTCTGGAACAGATTATAGAAAATTGTAAATCAAAGCTTAGTTTTTTGTTCTCAATATCTTCTAGCTGATTCGCAAATTCCCTCAAGGAAAACAGTTTGCCTTATTAGAAACATGTAAAACAACCTTATGATATGTACGAATATCTGGAATGTTAGATACTTTTATCCCAGTTTTCTTCATTCTGCAAGGTGATGATCACACAGTGGTCATACCAGGAAAAAGTTTTTTTCAAATGTAATATGTCCTTAGCCACAGATTTTTTGAGTCTTTGATTTTAGAAATGAGAACTCCTGCAGGAGGGAGGAAGAAATGTCGAGGAAAAGTAAAATACCCATATATATATATATATATATATGCACATCCATTCTTTGAAGCATCTGCCCTTGTTTCATATGTAAACCTAACTCTATTGCCAGGCATTCTGAACAACTAGGCTGCTGTTAGATGCATGCTCTCCCTAAAACATCAGTTCAGTCTCCCTTCTCCTACCACCACCCATGTTTTCTCCTAATGCTTTCTGGAGAGTGAAACTACTTCTCCTTCTCTATGATCCTACAGAGCAAAGGACAAGCAGTGGAACAGATGCTGACCAAGAGTCAAAACAAGATATCCACAGTTTTGGATGAGTTTGTCTCCATTTATGGAATAGTGGAAAAAGCTTAACACTAAAGTAATCATCAAACAGGAGAGAGCTACAAAATGCACACTGTTTAAATTATTTAAGACTGGTAACCTCCTCCAATTACATAAATGTTGCAGCATTTCTTAAAATGGAAAGAGATATTTACATTTTTAGCAGATTGAGCATCACATTAAATATCCTACTCTATCCCCTTTACTTTTGTGTGTTTGAAGAAGAAAGTTAAAAAATTATTCTATTGCTATGAATTACCAATACTGTTCAAACACTTCTGTCAAATTATTTCCAGAATGCTATCAGGTGATCAGTGCTGTACTGACAAAGGAAGAGGCACTTGCAATTAAATATCTACATGATACATACTATTCAACTCTATCTTGCTCTCATATATCTTGATTCTGCGTTAATGCTAATGTAAATGCAAAATGAGATAACTCTAACACCCAGTCCCATTCACCCATCGGAGGGAGTTTCAAATCAAAGATATTTCTAAAAGCCCTGCCAGATTTAATTTCATTCAACTCTTCTTGAAAACATACCCATAGGTCTAGTTCTACTGTTGTTACCTTACAAAAGCATGCTGTCCTCAAATACACGTCTCCTGTATCTTTCTCCCTCAATGCGCAAAAGGAAACTTGCAATCCCTGCAGGAAGTCCCAAACCTTGACTCCGTTCCTGACAAGACTTGTGGCCTTGACTCCATTTTTTACAGGATTCTGCAGGGATTTTAGCTGCAGAGTTTAGGATGGCACAGGAAATCAGATGGGTCGGCAGACTTGTCCTTCTCCAGCAAAAAATTATCAGCTCACAAGGAAAAAGCAAGAATCGATATAAGCTGAGGCAGTAGTAATTCTGCAGCTGAGCCCTTCCCACTGCCAAGACTCTTTCAGGTGGCCATCAAGGATGACAGCAATCTGAAACATGCCTAGCTAGAAATGAATTTAGAGGACTTTATAACCAGAGCTGAGGCGAAGCAGTACTGTCTACACTGTCCTTTGTAGGACATTTTCTTGGTGTCTAGACTTTTACATCTTTCAAAGTCATGTTCTGTAAAAGTCCAAAGGAATGCCATGAATTGAAACTGCAGAGGTTTCCTCAAGCAAAATAGACTTTTGCAGGGGAAGAAGTGTGTCATGATATTAGTGAAGCAAAAGAACTGTTGGCTTCAGTAAGACTTTGCTAGAATGAAAGCTAAGTGAGAACTTCATGGTTTCTCCAGCAGATTGAATCTTCATGAATTCACCCTAATCTCTTATTTTCCAGGTAAGAGCACATTTTATTAGTCTACCAAATCACTGTGCTAAGAAGTAGTTTCTATAAAGCGGCAATCATTAATAAACACTTAGCTCTTACATAGCTTGTCCCACTGCAAGACTGGCTTTTCAAACGTTAATTAATTTTCCTCCACAGTCCTGAGTGGGAAATAGTATTCTCATTTCACTTCTGAAAAAGGAGAACCACAGAGGGGCTGAGTTGCCCACACAGTGATCTTTTAACATTACCAGGACTGGAGTTCCAGCATCCATACCAGTGCTTACGCCACATCTTTCTCACTCTCAGAGCTGACAAAAGCATAATAAGAACTGGTTTTCCCAGTCTGAAATGTGTGCTGTTGATTAGTTCTTAATGCTATGCAGCTCACCCATAGCAAGTGAGAGTGTGCCTTTTGTAAACTTTGCCAAACGGCCTTGACTTACAGCAGCTTTGACTTTTTTATCTTTAATTTTCCTTGCTGGATAGGCTCATCATCCTCACATGTGGTAGATTTCATCCTGAATCTCAACACTAGAAAGTTGACTTGATCTTTAATTAGGTAGCCAAGCCCAATGAAAACAGTGGGAGTTTGTAGAACGTAACCCACTCCAATTCCTCCTGCATTCAAAGGATGTATTTTTGCTATGACCCGATATGAATGCCATCTCAGGAACAAGCTGGGTAAGTAAGCAATAATACAGCAGTGTGGATCAAATGCCACATATGTGGAAGAGAGAGAGATTTTATTAGGCCACCAGACACTCTCCTATGATAAACGTTACTTTCCTTCCAATTTGAAGACTGAAATGAAGATATTACACAACTGTGTTATAGGGGAAAAACATAATTTGCAGACAGTGTAATCACAAGCATTGAGTGTTTCATAAAAGAGAGTTCTCTTTTAAGTTCTAGCCTGTAAAAACCTGCAGTTCTTTGGATAAGCAAATTCCCACTCTGTTTACGTTTCTCGTAGAGTTTCATAAGTAAAATTAATATAAAATACTTGCTCTGTTAAAAAGAGGATTTGAAACCCATGACTTAGAAGACTTCCTCATCAAATATCTAATGGCTGTGTGGCTGTCATTTTGAAATTGTTACACATTTGGTCCTTGGCAGACTGTGAGCTATGTTCCAGCCAGCTCTCCACATACATTTTGCACAATCTGTCACCAGCATGAGACAGAAGGAAACAATCCATGTTTTTAGTGGAAACAGGAAACTGGGGGAGTACATGCTGCTTTTTTTTTTTTTTTTGTCACTGAATATTGTCCCCCTCGTTGTCTTTCTTTGCTTTTCTCCTTTGCCTCCCGTTCTTTCTTCTCAGCTGGGCTTTGTCAAATACTAAATCTTGAGTTAACTGCTGGCAGGCAGTCATTCTTTATAATTATCTTCCTGTCCTACCATTTACTCCACTCCAAAAAAGAAAAAAATATTAAAAACATTTCTTGTTTTGTACTGGTTTGGGTAATATGTTCTCCCCTGTTACAGCTGTGTCCGCACTCTGGCACGTCTAAAGATCTCAAACACTAACAGTGCATTTTGACCTCCACTGATGGAAAGGTGTTATGTTTGTCCCTCTCTGTTCAATACTATGCTATACATTCCCAGTATTAGAGCAGCTATTTAGTAACCCATTTGATAGGGAATTTTCTGTAGGCAGTAAATAGTCCTTCTTTCAGTACCCCCAGAGGACAAGTCCCAGAATCTATCTGCAGAATTAAGATCAAAGTAACGTTGAACCCCAGTGCAAAACATGCA